CAATAAATCCAAATCCTACCGCTTTCTTCTTTTTTTTTTTTAATGCTTGGTCGGCCCATAGAATTCAACAAGCCCAAAGTCATGTAGGAAATTGAACTCTTCACAAATATATATATATATCCCCTCCAAGAATAAATGTGTCCAGCCTTCATAATACTGTGGCCCTCCAATGCGTGAGTGTCCAGGAAGCACAACTCTTCCAAATCCATTCAAACTATATTTTTTTTCTTTCAATTCCCACGTAACCAGCTCCACTATTGGGCTTTTAATTTCTAAACAATCCAGCCACATTAATCCATACGTGGTCCTTCATTCTCGGGTATTAAGCCGCACGACAATGTCTCACGTGAATTTTCATCCATTGTTTCGCGTACACAAAATACTTCAATGAGCTGAAAAATTAAATATAAAAATATCAATTTATATGAATCTATCCAAATAATAAATAGGTCCAAAAATATAAATATGCGAATAAATTTAGTGTATAAGAATACACTATTAAATATATAAAATATGTTTTGGCTTTATTTAAATTTAAAACGTATTTTCGGAACACGTTTTATACTGGCAAAAAAAAAAAGTTTTTCTGCATTATTTACACGACTCGAATTAATACAATTGAAGTCAATTTCCTACAATTGAAGTCAAATTAGTACAATTGAAGTCGAATTGGTAGCTACCTGAATGAACCATTTTCTGATACGGATCCAACTCTCGGAAGAGGTTTCTACCAACCAAGCCAAATTCTTCAGCAGGATAATCATCAAAGGACGGATACTTCCCTTTATGTGAAAATTGGGTGCCTAAGAACCCAATTTGCTGGACAACCTTGTTGAGAGCATATTCACTTTTGGAATCTATCAGGTGTCCAGTTCTAGAAGTCAATTTCGTACAATTGAAGTCAATTTCGTACAATTGAAGTCAAATTAGTACAATTGAAGTCAATTTCGTACAATTGAAGTCAACTTCGTACAATTGAAGTCAAATTCGTACAATTAAAGTCAAATTCGTACAATTGAAGTCAATTTCGTACAATTGAAGTCTATTTCTGATACGGATCCAACCCTCGGAAGAGGTTTCTACCAACCAAGCCAAATTCTTCAGCAGGATAATCAGGTGTCCAATTCTAGAAGACTTCAGTATGAAATTGGTAGCCGGAATTTTCACGCTGCGCAAGTAACTGTCCAACTGCAAAGCAATTAAAGTCAATTTCGTACAATTGAAGTCAACTTCGTACAGTTGAAGTCAATTTCGTACAATTGAAGTCAAATTAGTACAATTGAATTCAATTTCGTACAATTGAAGTCAATTTCGTACAATTGAAGTCTATTTCTGATACGGATCCAACCCTCAGAAGAGGTTTCTACCAACCAAGCCAAATTCTTCAGCAGGATAATCAGGTGTCCAATTCTAGAAGACTTCAGTATGGAATTGGTAGCCGGAATTTTCACGCTGCGCAAGTAACTGTCCAACTGCAAAGCAATTAAAGA